CTCCGCCCCCACGCGCAGCCCCTTCCCCCGCGAGAAGGTCTCGTTAAGCGCCAGCAATCGCAGGTTGTGGCTGTTGGCGCCGCTGTTCTTGGTGAGCAGCACGCGCGACATGATGGCGCGTGCCTCCGACAGCCCCTCCTCCCCGAAGTACACCACGGTGAGGTGCACGCGGCGATCGTTCTTCAGCGCGATCTTCACGAACTTGTCCATGAAGCTCTGGAAGGTGGCCGTGCGGCCCGACAGCGGCAGGATGATGTGGATGATTTCCTTCTCGCGGGCGGCCGGCAGCGTTTCGGTGGCGACGGGCTGCAGCGGGGCGAACGGCCGCATCAGCGTCACCTTGGTGACGCCGTTCTGCGTCTGCGACTCGTGCGCGTTGCGGCCCGGCGCGCCCGCGCCCGCGCCGGCCTTGGTGCGGAAGTACATCTCGTACTGGGTGCCCGTGGTGGGCTCGGTGCGGTACAGCCCCTCCAGAAAGTCGTCCAGCGTGTACTTGCCCGGCGGCGGCAGCCGGCCGTTGAGCGCACTCGGCGCCAGCGGCGCGCTCGCGTTGCGGTTGAGCGTGTCGATGGCGCGCACCAGCGCCTCCAGCAGGTCCTTGCGCTTGAAGCCGATCGGCTTCTCCATCACGCGCTTGCCCAGCCCCAGCTCCACCGGGTACACGCGGCTGAAGGTGAAGTGGCTGAAGGCGATCAGCTCGTACTCGTTGTTGAGCGGCAGCCCGTGCTGGATCTCGGCCCGGCTCAGCTGGCGGCGCACGTAGGCTGCGCAGTCGGAGGCCGCGCCGGGCCCGGCGGCGGCGGCGGCCGCTAGCGACGCCGCGCTCGCGTTGAAGCCTAGCGCAGGCTCCGCCCCCGCTCCCAGCTGCTGTTGCTGCTGCTGTTGCTGCGACCCGCCGCCCGCGCTACCTGCAACAGAACACGCACACGTCACTCATCTAGACGGCCAACGTTCAGAAACGACTCCGTATTAGTTATGAACAGTTTTGGAGCACACATATTTGTTTTACAGGTATATACTTTCGATATTGACGAAGTTAGCGTAAGTAATTGCAATTCACCAATTGCATCTTAGATCACGAGGTCCTGATGATTTGTGTGTTGACTACTCAAAGAAAGCTAATTTTGCATTAGCCCTGATGCTAGTTCAAAACCGACCACACACATCGTGTAATATTGCACCAGCATTGTGGCTTTCAATTAAAAAAAGGCTTTTGAATACACACATGTGAAACACAACAACAATGTTTTCAGAGAATATACATATTTATGAATATGGAACCAACGATCGTATACGAATGAAGAGGAAACCGAATTTCCAGGAAAACGGTACAAGCGTCGGGGGGAACCTGAGGAGCTGGCGACTGTTGGCAGCGCTGTGCGCCTGCCAGTCACTCCGGAGCAACGTGGGCCCCCTCGGGGACGTTCGCAACAAGGGGAACAAGTTACCACGCGACGTCGCACCGGGAACAAGTTACGAGAATAGACTTTGCGTCTCCCACCTCCATCCATCTCCACCTCGCCCTGATCTTCTCCCCCCGCGCCGCTCCTTATGCTCCCTCCCAATTCTCCCCGTCCCGCTCTACTCGTCGCTGCTCCACCCCCTCCTCCGTTCCGCTCCGCCCCGCCCCGTCCAGCCCCACTTCACCACCCAGTGCCACTTAGTCCTGCTCCGCCCCGCATCACTCCATTCCGCCTTCGTCCTCCCCTTCCCACTCCGCCCTGATTCATCCCACTCCACCCGTCCCGCCCCACTCATTCCCGTTCTGCCCCATTCCGCCCTGCTCCGCTCCGTCCAGCCCCACTACACGCTGCTCCGCTCTGCCCGCCCTGCTTCGCTCCGCTCTGCGCCGCGCCGACCAACCCCGATCCACCGCCTTTGCCCCGCGGCGGGGGCTGTGTCTGTGGGGAAGGGGCTGGTGGCGTCGCCCCCGGGGATGCGAGCATCACTGTTGCCGCAGACGTTTTTCCAGGAACGACGCAATATTCCTCGACATTGCCGGATATCGGTTATAGCTGCCGTTGTGGCTCACTAGTGACTTTTTTGAAAAGGATAGTAGTGATGACTGTTTATCTATATTAATTTTTTTGTACTGGGCTTACAAGCCTGCATTTGTAATGTCTAAAAACTCTAAAATTGACAATAATACGTAATGTAGAGACCAGAACTTTGTTCATATTTAATGACAATCACACCCGATGTTCATTAACTTTGAAATGATAAATACAACGTAGTTAATAGTTATTCACACATAGTGCCTAACATTCAACTTCAATAGTAAATCAAATTAAAAGGCGGTATATTTAATGTATAGATGTTGGAAGATGAAATAAATTGTACAAACAACTTAATAGTTGATAATAAGTGCTTTAATAAGCATCGCAAATTATCAGATTGATGTTTCTAAAGTGTAAATTATGCCTTGTCCTTTCCTGGTACAGAGCTAATCATAAAATATGATCACCGTTCATATGTTAAAAATGCATCAGACAGTAGCAGCTAATATTCAAAAGAAAATTTAAATACAATTTGCATTTAGATTCTAAAAAAGTAAGGTTTAAAAATATTGTTAAATACATTTTGAGTGAATTTCACTCTACTGATTGTTGCTGCAGTGAATTAATTTATAACTGAACTAAATGCGAGAATAGCGCATTACAACACTCACTTTTTGGGATAAGGTTTATTCAAGAAAATGTCTACATAAGAAAAAATTTAGTTAATTTTGTTTATTTTCTAAACGAACGCTGACGTAAAAATATAGTAAATTTCTGAGTTAAT